AAAGGGAATTGTGTTAGAATGATATGGAAAGGTTGTATTATTGTGAAGGGGGTGTGTTGAAGAGTGAGGGGAAAATTTTTGGGAAAAATTTCTTTTCGATGAGAGTTTTTGTGATTGTCATTGTTTATTCGAATTGGGAAATTCTGTGGAATTTTCAGAGAAAAAAATCCGCGGATGAAGAATTTTTGGGGTTTTTGTGTATTATATTGGAAGATACGTGTGGAAAATTATCCGAGGGGGTTTTCATGGAGAAAATTTTCGGAAAATTTGGGAAAATTTTTCAGAAAAGTTTGGAAATGTCTGCCACTCGTCAAGCGAATTCGGCAGAAGGTTCTTGTGGGAGCGGAAGCCCACCAACGACAGATTTCGAATCAAATGGAGCCGCGAGTAAAACTGACAGGTGGGAGGATCGAACCGGGGACCTTTGGGATGGAAGTCTTGGTAGGAAACGATTACGCCATCACCAACTCACTCCAGCAGCTGTGGCGGGACAGGCGGAGGCTCTTGCGAAGGAGTTTGAACATGCGTTACCTGTGAGTTGGGAAATTTATGAGAAAATTTTGGGAAATTTTTGTACATTTTTGCTCTATGCGAATGAGCGCGGGGGGCAACTACGTGTGTTGGTGAGTAAATTAAAATTATGAGAAAATTTTGGGAAATTTTCGTCGGTTTTTATACATTTTTACCAAAAGTGGAGAATGAGGATCGGAAAATATGCAACTACGTGTGTTGATAGCACTTTGAAAATCCTGAGGAAATTTAGTTGGTTTTTGTACTTTTTCTACCAGAATTTGTGTAACCGGTGAGGAAATCCTTTTTTTTGGGATTTTTTCCCTCATTTTTCGGAATAATTTTGTGGCGCGCGGTCAGGTTGGTACAGTATTGATATGCCGAATGATCGAGTTAGACCAATGGCGACATGGTACGGTGGTGAGCATCAGGAGGAGAGAAACGCTACCGGAAGATCAACCTTTGCAACAGGTGGGAAAATATGAAAATTGGGGGAAAATTTTGGGAAATTTTGGGAAATTTTTGTTGGTTTTTGTCCCCTTCTACTACTTGAGTTCCTGAGCTCAGTGGATGAGGAAAGCGAACATATATTCCAGAAATTATGTAATTCAAAATTTTACGATAATATTATTGTGAATGATCCGTCATTTCCTCAGACTTTTTTGATAAAAATTTAGGGAAAAAATGAATTTTTTTTCCGATTTTTTTTTCTATTCAGGCAGGAGATCATGATTATTATGTACATTTTCAACGTATGAACCGCCGACACGATCGATGGATAAAATGGGAGGATATAAAATTGCCGGACTCGTCGGAGAATAGCAGCGAATCGAATGGAGTTAGCGTGCCAGGTAAATCTTGGTCGATCTAAATTTTCGTAAATTTTCCTAAATTTTTGTAAATTTTCGTTAATTTTCGTTAATTTTCGTAAATTTTCGTAAATTTTCCTAAATTTTCGTAAATTTTCCTAAATTTTCGTGGTTATTCGAGATTTGATGGGTCTCTGTTGGGTTTTGGAAAATTTCGGAAATTTCTTTTCGATTCGAAAGTTTGGATTTTTGGGGAAAAATCTTTTCAGCGTCTTTGTGGTTGCCGGTTGAGGATATTCATAGTGATGCAAAAATCTTGAATTTTTCCGAAAAAAATAAAATTTTCCCAAATTTTCTTCCCTCCCGGTTGATGATGGTTATATTGAGGGAAAAATTTGAGATTTTATGGGAAAAAAATAAGATTCTTTTCAGCGTCGTTGTCGCTGCCGGTTGATGATGATTATAGTGACGATTCCGATCATGAAGGGATGGGAAATGAAGAGCTCGAGAGCTGGGAAAAGGCCACGAGAGTTAAACGTATTCAAAAAATATTCTTTCACAAGTGAGCGATTACGGGAAAATTTGGTAAAAAAATTTTGCGGTTGTAATTTTAGGTATATTTTCGACGCGTGGTATTGGGCGCCATTTCCGGAAGGTTACCAAGATTTGGACATTTTGTATTTTTGCGAATTCTGTCTGAAATTTTTCGAGTAAGTTGGGGAAGAATTTTTTCGTGATGGTGGGGAAAATCATTTTTTCCGGAAAAATCAGTGTTTTTGTCACAAAAAAGAATTTTCTGGAAAAAAACAGTTAGTGATATCATTTTCGGAGAATTATGATGGTTTTCTATCGAGTTGGGGAAAATAACGTCCATCGCAATGTAGGATTTTTTCCGGAAAGTTATGTGCTTTTCTGAAAAAAAATAAAAATTTTCTCACTATTTATTCATGAAAAACTTCATGTGACAAAGCGTGATGCGCGACTTTTTTGGGGGAAAAATGGCAAAAAAAGGGAAAATTTTCGGTAAATTTGAATATGATGTATGGAATGCATTTACGTACACTTATTTCGGATTTTTTTATTTCAGAAATCGGAAAATTTCTGGTTTTGAGGGAGTTTATGATTTTTTTTCTGTTTTTCAGCACGAGAGA